GCAGCCCCACAGAAAGGCTCATCTACTCATTCAGTCAACTGACGAGTATCTCCTGCATAAGGGTGCCATCTGGAAGGTGCAGGAAGGACCTCTGAGAACCCAGTGAGAACACTGGCACACGTTGTCAAAAAAAATATCCACCTTTTCAGGGCTCTGAAAATTAACTAAAGGCTTGCAACAACTGGGGAGTGTTTACTTCGGAAAACTGGCTGAACTCCAGCAGTGAGCTCTGTGGTGTTTTCACTTGCCCTATTGCCAGCCCCTCCCCAACCCCACGGAAGCATTGTACACCAGCAGCTGCCAAGCCCCTGGCAGGGTCACGGTGGGGTTGGAGCTCTTTCAAAGCCCCATGGTCAGAGAACTGTGACATTTGCCACATCTGGCAGTTCTCTGGAAAACTCTCCCTGCGAGGCTTGTCCTTATTTGACCTGCCTTTGCTCTCCGGGCATTTGTCAAAAACAATCAGCGGCAATTTGACACTGGGGGAAACAGTGAGCTAACAAAAAAAGTTTTTTATTTTTTAACACAAAAAGTTGGAAAACAAGATGTCTAAGGGGGCTCTGAAAAGGCAACATACTCCTGGTGAGACCTGAACAAGTTGGGTTGAAAAAGTGCCCAAAGAGAAGGACTCGCCACCAAGAACTCTACATCCAACGAGACTGTCCTTGAAAAATGAAATTAAGACATTCTCAGATAAACAACAATCGAGAGAATTCATGGCTGGCAGACCTGCCCTACAAGAAACGGAGTCCTCCAGGCTGAACAGAAGCAGATTATGTAACCAGTCAAATCTACGTGAAGACTGAAGACCACCAGGAAAGGCAACTACAGGCTAATTATAAGACAGGATAAATAAATTTCTAGATTGTAACTTTTTCTCTATTTAAAAGGCAACTTCATAAAGCAGTAACAAATCTGGTAATTTTATACAATATATGAACTGTAATTTGTATGACAATAGCACAAATGACCGGGAGGGGATGAAGCTATATAGAGAGGCCAAGTTTTTGTACACTGTTGAGGCTGGTGTCAAACTGAACTAGATTGTTATAAATTAAGACGTTAATTCTAATTCCTAGGGCAACCACCAGAAAAAAAAAAAAATATATATATATATAAATAAAAGAAACAAGGAAATCAACATGGTTCACTGGAAAATCACTATTTAACAAGCCCTGTGCTGGGAGGAGCTGGGGAATCAAAGGTGTGACGCAGATCTGTCCACTCTGCTGTAGTCAGACCTAGTCTAGTGACACGCAACACACAAGGACCAAATACGATCGTGACATGTGCTGTACCTTGTGACAGAACCCGAGGGCTCTGACAGACCAACAGCGAGGAGCCTATAGTGAGATGCGGAGAAGGAGGTGTCGGGAAGGGACGCCCCGGGCAGAGGGAAGACAAGCAGAGGCTCGAGGGAGGAGAGCTTTTTGGTTCTGGAAGTGACCGAGGCCAGGGTGCCTGGAGCACAGCCCCGAGGGCACGTGAGGCTGAGTTAAGCAGCAACTAGATCATGCTAGGTCTTGAGTGTAGAAAGTTTGGGTTTTGGCACAATTATTATTAAAGGATTTTAAAAGCAAGGGAGTGGGGCCGGCCCCGTGACTTAGCAGTTGAGTGCACGTGCTCCACTACTGGCAGCCCGGGTTCGGATCCCGGACGCACCGCTTCTCCGGCCATGCTGAGGCTGCGTCCCACATACAGCAACTAGGAGGATGTGCAACTATGACATACAACTATCTACTGGGGCTTGGGGGGGGGGGAAGGAGGAGGATTCGCAATAGATGTTAGCTCAGAGCTGGTCTTCCTCAGCAAAAAGAGGAGGATTAGCACGGATGTTAGCTCAGGGCTGATCTTCCTCTCTCACACACACACACACACACAAAGCAAGAGAGTAAACTAAAACAACTAACTTAAAACAACTTAAACAAGTTGACTTGGGCTGCAGCGACGAGGCTTTGGAGGGTGTGCTATTGCAGCAGACCTGCACGCAGTGGAGACAGAGAAGAATGGACAAAATACAAGCTGGATTTCTCAAGGCAGGGCCCTTAACGATTTGTTGATGGACTGGGAGGGGATATGAGGGAAGACTTAAGGATGGCTCCCTAATTCCTACCTTTAGTATCTAGTGAATAATGGTGTGATGTCATTTCTTGAAACAGGATCTAGGGGAGGACCAGGTTTTTGAGGTAAATCAAGAATTCAATTTCGGGCATAATAAATTCGAGATGCCTATGAGACATCTAAGACTAGACAAGTCTGGACCCCACAGAGGTGAGGGTGGGAGACATAAATTTTGGTCTTTAGGAAACAGAGTAGTGAGAGCATGTGACTGGATAAAGTGAAGGAAGAGTGTGTAGACAGGAAAAGGGCCCATTCAGAGCTCAAGAGAAACAGTCATAGTGAGCTGGGAGGAAAACCAGAATGTGGCGTCATGGAAACAGAGAAGACTTTCAAAAGAAAAGCAATCAGCTGTGTGCAGTGCTACTGAAGGGTCAAGAAAGAAACCAGAAAAAACCTACTGGATTTGGTGACAAGGAGGTGATGAGCAATTTAGGAAGAGCACTGTTGGTGACATGGTGGGAGACATGGCAGACTACAGAGGGCTGAGAGAGGATGCATAATTCAGTTTCAGCAAAATTTCATCACATTAATTTTAATTTGTGATGTGATCTTATAACTGTATTTATTATGAGCTACAAAACAGTTTTGAATATATACCCAGTTTTATATTTGCACTTACCGTACTTCAGTGAGTCTAAGACTGCCTTTAGGTACCACTAAGAAAAACATTACCTCCTACAACACAATGCTTTATCACTGACTCTAAGACTTATTTCAATTAAGAAATGTTAAAATGTAAAAAAAGTCTTAGAAGTGATGAAATATAGTATTAAATAAAAAATTTAAGTCAAACCTGGCAGTTGCAAGAATTTCTTCAGAAGCTCAAATACATGAGTATAGCAGACACAGAATGAATTTGGTTATTAACCTTAAATCAACTGATAACATCTCTAAGACAGTTTCCTCATCTGTAAATAGGGTGGCACCTTCTTCCCAGGGTGAATGTGAAGCAAACCAGAACACAGCACACAATAGGTACCACTAACCACCTCCCATCATCATCACCAGGTAATGAGCTCCCCATCACTGGAAGTCTTGAGCTGCAAGACCACATTTGGAACACGTAACAAGCTCAATCCATCTAGTAAGTGAATCAACTGTCTTGTGGATGGGATCTCCACGTTGGAGAGCAAAACTGGACCAACCCTGTAGTATCTCCAAGGTTCAATGTCAGACGCAATCTCTACAAGATTTCTAGCAGATTTCTGTTGTGTTCATGGCACTTAGAACAGTGTTGAGCACACAGTAGGTGCTCAGAAGACATCTGAATGGGTGAAATGCATCATGTGAAGGAATACCATGCCACCTCCAACAGAAGACCCAGTCCTTAGAGGACCACTCTGCGAGAGCTGAACTTAAGTTTCCAGTACGAATATGCTGCTGAATATTTACACAGAAATAACTTTTCAGATGAAAAAGGTTGACTGGATCCAGATTTAATGTGGTACATTGAGTATTGATGCATAATATTAGGCCTAAGAATAAACCCTGTTAATAAGTAACGATACTATATTGTCAAAATTGATTTTTATTTAAAAAGTGAGTATTTGGTGGAGGTCTTCTAAGGCTCAAATTTCATCCTGGAACGTCAAGACAAAAATAGTTAAAAGATCTAAAATAATGGCATTTTCTAAAAACATAAAATTTTCATTAAAAAATCAGTTACAAAGAAAAATTATATTTTATTAATAGAGTCAATAACATTTCCTTAAATGTTAGAAATGGCCCTGTGCAATTTTAACTGGGAAGGGGCATCATTTAAAAACACCATTCGATTATCCAAAGAACTTGAAATCAACAATTCAAAGAGACTTATGCACCCCTATGTTCGCTGCAGCATTATTCACTATAGCCAAGAAGTGGAAGCAACCCAAGTGACTGATAACTGGATAAAGAAGATGTGGTATACATAGACAATGGAATACTACTCAGCCATAAAAAAAAACCACAAAATCGTCCCATTCGCAACATGGATGGACCTTGAGGTATTATGTTAAACAAAATAAGCCAGACAGAGAAAGACAAACACTGTATGATTTCACTCATATGTGGAAGATAAACTAACACACAGACAGAGAGAACAGTTTAGTGGTTTACCAGGGGGGAAGAGGGTTGAGAGGTGGGCACAAGGGGCAAAGGGGCGCATTTATATAACTGACAAATAATAATGTACTACTGAAATTTCACTATGTTATAAACTATCATGACCTCAATAAAAATAAATTTAAAAGAAAAAAACATCACTCAACTTCAACTCTCACTTACAGTCGAGGTGATGGCCACCACGAAAATCGAATCCTCCTTTCTCCTTCAATGCTGCTCCCCACAGAGCAGGAGGTGAGTGTCTGGGTCTGAAGGAGGTTCACAGAGGCTCATCACAGAACACTTCCTGGGCAATACTGCCCATCCTTTAAACTACTCACTGGAGGTTTTGGATGGTGACAGGCAGTTCTATTTTCTAAATCAGATCCTGCCTGACATGGACATCAAGCTAAGCACAAGGACGGCTAGGAAGTGTTTCTTAATGTCTCCTTTTCTTCAAGTAGCCCAACAGGCAAGCAAGAGGGGAATAAGAAGGCTCTAAGTGACCACCACAGCCCTGCCTGTGTGAAGCCTTCTAGTCAAGGCGGGGGCCTCTGAGGGTGGAGGGAGAGCTTTAGTAGACAGAGAGCCATCCCAATTCTGGGATGGGCCCCATCGGAGGCCTAGAGCCCCTGTGGTCAGCAGGCCCCCAGGGCTCTGCTCACCTCTGCCTGAGGCCACATCCTCCACTAGTTCTGGGAATCCAACCACAAGCCTTCTGGAAGGCCGGAAATGAAACCCTCAGGACGGAGGACAAGCTTTTCTTCTTTAAAAGCCACACTGAGTAGTACAAGGGATTAAGGTTTGCAGCTATTTTATTTACAAGTATACATTTAACACAATGAAATAAACACTGATATATCCAAGCCTAGTTAATAGTAGTGTAACAATATGTATCATTTTGATGATTACATTATTTTAAACAACAAACTACACTGAAAAATTAATGCCAATAAAATTCTTGGTCATAATATTATTAAGAAATACAATATATAAATTGAAAATATGATTGCTTAAAATTTGAAAATGGAAGTGAGCTCATTTGGACAGAGTCAGAGTTTAACATAATCTGAAGGGGTTGCGGGGGACGGTGGGAAAATGCTCTGACCCAAATGAAATCTTTCAGGTTAACAGAAGAAAAACGAAGCAGAGTTTATCTTAAAGGATAACGGGCAATTTGCTTCTTCAGTAGGATAGATTCCCAGTGTCCTCAGATTCTGCAGCAGAATTACATCACTGAGCAGGAAGACTTTCCTTGTGAAGCAGCCCCATCAATTTTTTCTGCCTCCAAAATTATCCTTCTAAAAACATCAACAGCAGTCTGAAAAACAAAGAGAAAACCAATTACAGTGTTAGCTTTAAAGCAGAACTCTGATAAATACTTTTAACCACTGGCAGGACTGAAGAAGGCCCGCCACCCACTGTCCCGTCCCCTGAAGACATCGCCCAAAAACTGCAGGGGCCTCGGACTTCCTCCCTGCCCCACCTCACCCCCATCACCATCTGACTGGAGACCACCAGAACTAACCTCACATCATGATTCTGATCCCTGTTTTCATCAGTCACCACAGGAAGCCAGGGAGTCCTCACCCAGGGCCCACCCACCACCTGCTATCCCCCAACTCCAGCCTTCTTACCCCTCCCATGCTGCCTTCCTTGTGGCCCCTCCTCAGGGCCACGGTCCCTCTCAAGCTCTGGCACAATGCGACCCAAAGCGAGGCAGGGGCTCTTCTTGCTTCTCATCGCCCCCTTCAGACTCTTTTTCCTCCCACTTCCTTAAAACTCTCACCTTTGACTCTGAGGCCATGAGACGATGTATGTCACCTTCAAGCCCTGCTTCTTACAGGCCACTCACAAACTCTGAGTCACTTCCCCTGCTTTCTTCTGGAGCAGCGTCACTGCCTCCACCACCACTCCCAGCTCCCGTGACCTCCTCTCCTCTCATGCCTGTCTTTTCCAACCTCAGCCTCTCAGCCCATAGGCAACCCTACTAGCCCTTCACAAGGAGGAGTCACTGTCATTTTGGGCGGGAAATTGTCTCTTAGGCCCAACATCAGTTCCTGTCCTTTAAATGCAGTCATTGTGGTAATCGAAAAATGCCCCTGTTCTCCAAAGCCTTGGAGGGCAGTGCCTAGACTTTGTCATTACCAATAACCACCCCTCCTCCCTCACCTCCACGTCAAGCACCCCACCAGACCAGACCCATCTTCCTTCTCACTTTCTCTGGATATTCCGATCTTGACAGCTCTCCACCCCACAGGGACCTGCTTCCTTGATCCGACTACATTTTCCCTGTCCCTCAGCCACGTCTCGTCCTCACTTTCCTCCCTGACCAGTGTAGACTGCACGGCCCACCATTGCAGTCCCTGTACTTCAACCCCCTTCTCTGCCGACTGTCCGCCTGCTACCACACAGCCAATGCAGCCCAGGGAAACCCACGCTGCACGGGGTCTCACTTTACCTCCAGGACCCTGAGTCCAAAGGGGACCCTCGGTGCCACCAGCAGCCCAACTACATTTCCCTGGTCCAGTTACTCTCCCAGATGAAGGTTTTATGCCTTCTCCTTTTGCCCCGAATTTCTAAAACCTCCCTCCCATTCTCACCCTCAGCTGAGAGCTGTGTGTTCCAGTTCACCGGGGAAGCAGAAGCACCACTCATAAGGGAACGCTACCTACTCTGCCCACCAAACCGACCGTGCCCTTGCATCTGGGCCCATCTACTCTGGCTCCTTCTCTCCTGCTGGCATGAATGAGGCACTTCTAAGTAAGCCAAAGCCAGTCCCAGGTCCTACCCCATCGTCTAACTAATCAAGGTCATCGGCTTCAGCAAGTCTCCCTCCTGTTTCTGCATTTTCAATCCCCCTCCTTTCCTGTGATTATACGAACACGCTACTTATTTCATCCTAACAATAATGGACAGAAAAATGTCTAGAAAGACACATGAAAAACTCTTACCAAGAAAATATAGTGTGCCTGGAATTTGGCTTTCTAGATAAATCTTAGAACTCTCCTTGATTATCTGTGTGATCTGACTCTGTCAAAGTATATCCTCTTGCACCAAGTTGCTGAAATACAGCTGAAGGCCTCCACAGCAAATAAACCAGCAAGGCAAACACAACTCACAGTTCAGTATCAGTCAACGGGCAGTATGTTCAATGACTTGATAATTTTTACCACCGAGCACTTTGTTATCAACAAAATTGACTGAACTTCACTTAGTTTAGTTTATTTTAAAATATTGGATTTTTGGTTAGTAATAAACATTACAGACTATACTTGAAAATTTATCAATAAAAAATTTGAGCAATTTACACAGATTGGTCTTGATCACATGACTATTGAGTATGTGTGTGCATGTGTGTGTCTCTACTACATACACAAATTCTCTCTCTCCTCCTACTAAATAGACAAATAGTAGTAACATTCTAGTATGTATGTGGATTAGAATCATTACACCTCTTACGTAAGGGCCCCCTAAAAGGGATTAGAATTACGTGCTTTCCTCCCCGACAGGTAGAAACGCCCTAGGCTCAGGATGCCCACTACCTCCAGCACACGCAAAGACAAAGTGGGCAGGAGTATGACAAGAGACGTGACAGAGAGCTGAGACGTATCTAGATGGCTTTAAGGTATTGATCAGGACTGCTGCTTTCCAAGGATATCGACATCACCACTGTATTTTCCTAATTTGGATACAACAATCTTTTCACCTTAAAGGATTCATTTCACATCTATTCAGGTATTTGTTGATCTAGCATTATCTAGAGCAGACCGAGACAACAATCAGTTGGCTCATTTGATCTTGGAGCTTGTTTGGCTTAAGACGTTTGAGGCTACCATACAAGAGCCTTGCCTTCTTTTATGTTTTTGGCTAATATCAGTTAAATTTGCTAAATTTATCAAAACCTAAAAGCATTACAGTAGTTGAAATTTTTTCATTTTAACTTTAAGCCTTCAGCACAATTCATCTTTTATCTGGGTATTCAAAAAGCAGTATGCTACCTGCTAAAGGAAACTAAAAGATTAAAGAATAAACCTATGTAGAAGCATATTAAAACCTTAAGTTATGGGAAGTATAACATAAACTAGCCAGAGAAAAGGCCTGCATGCCAAGTCCAAATAGGAATTTAATAACATACCTTAAGCAACTGTACAGGTCACTTTCAAAAAAGATAAATTAACCAGAGGCAATTTGCCTTACTAAGCAAGCTGTCTTAATTACAGTGGAGATGGGGTCCACAGCTATCTATGCCTTCAAGGGTGCTGGAAGGATAACAAAGGAACTGCCAGACATGCACAGCACAGTAACACACACACCTGCACAGGGGCTACTCGAACCCACACTCTAAGAATGAAACAACACTTCTGCTGAGGCTGACTTAATTATAATGTCAAATAGAATAACTGCTTTAGGATCCTCATATTTTCATCAAAGAGAAGCAGAGTGAAGTTAGCAAACACAACCAAAGATAGCTTGGGGCCATTCAACTGCATTTTTCCACCTCCAATTTTTATTATGCAAATTTTCAGGCATACAGAAAAATAAAAAGAATTGTACAATAATCACCTAGCCCCACCATTTGGATTCAACAAGTGTTAACATCTTTGCTGTATTAGCTGGCTTGCGCTCTCTGTCCATTCACCCAGCTATCCCATTTGAAAGTAAGTTGCACATTATGAAACTTGGCCCCTGAATACTTTGGTTTGCATTTCCTAAGAATAAGGATATTCTCGGGCCGGCTCTGTGGCTTGGCGGTTAAGTGCGTGCGCTCTGATGCTGGCGGCCCGGGTTCGGATCCTGGGCACGCCCCTAGGCACCACTTCTCCGTCCAACCCGAGGCCGAGTCCCACGTACAGCAACTAGAAGGATGTGAACCTATGACATGCAGCTATCTGCTGGGGCTTTGGGGGGAAAAAAATGAATAAATAAAATCTTTAAAAAAATAAAAAAAATAAAAAAAAAAAAAGAATAAGGATATTCTCTTCATAACCCCAATACCATGATTGCACCTAAGAAGATTAATACTATTTCCATAATTTATCCAGAACATAATCAAATCTCCCCAAATGATCAAAGCGTCTTTTATACTAGGGTTTTAGAACCAGATTCCAATCAAGGTTCACACATAGACTCTTAACCCAGACTAGTCTCTCTCCCCAAGAACACCTTAATCTCTATTACACTTGAGTCACGCACACGGCCCCCATTCCCATCCACCAGAAAGCATGGCATACAGGAGAGAGGACTAAATTTGGGTTAAATTTATTTTATTTTTTTTTTAAAGACGATTTTTTGATTAATTAATTAATTTCCCCCCCAAAGCCCCAGTAGATAGTTGTATGTTATAGCTGCACATCCTTCTAGTTGCTGTATGTGGGACCTGGCCTCAGCATGGCCAGAAAAGCGGTGCGTCGGTGCGCGCCTGGGATCCGAACCGGGGCCGCCAGTATCGCAGCGTGCGCACTTAACCGCTAAGCCACGGGGCCAGCCCTTGGGTTAAATTTAAAACTTAGTCCTATTCCCTACACCATATAGAGTGATCTCAGAAAAGACATTTACCTCTTTGGACCTTAACTCCTCAACTCTAAAATGAGACAGCTCAACTAGATGATCTTAAGGATAGGTTAGATACCAAATCAGGGTTTGATGGCATTTAATTAAAACCACAAATCTCTCTGACCCTCTTAATTGTGATCTGAATTCTTACCACCTGCACTCAGGAACTGAATGGATTCAGATAAATCTCTTGTTATTTGGAACTTGGGAACCAATCACATAGATTTAATATCCCTCGTTATTTGAACACAGAGACAAAGGGATTTGATTATCAAGGGATAGCTGGGTTGACTGAGCACCCACTAGATACAAAAACACTGTCCTGGACATTATGGAGATCATGAAGGCCAATGATACTGTCTTGGATCTCAGAATGAAGGGGGATAAGAGAGAAGAAAGTACTGTTCATATTGGCTGGGTGAACAAGCAGCAGAGGTCACTGAGAAGGTGAAACTGGAGGAGACCCTTGAGGGCTAAGGTTCTCAGTAATGGGGAGAAGTGGTGGAGCCGGGAACGAAGAGCACTGTGTGCTAGCTCTCCTCACCCCGAAGAAGCTGTTCACCTCACCAAGCTGTCGCTCCCTCACAGAAATGAAAACCAACTAATCTTATTTGAGGATCAAACAAGATAACATGTTGAAAATACTTTAAAAACTATAAAACACCATATGAATTTAAGTAGTTAATTAAAGAAAGGATATTTTAAGCCAGAGAAGAACATGAGTAAAGGTGAGGCATTTTGAAAGTGCTCAATGTGTTTAAGAAGTGGGAGTAGCTTGCTGTGATTGAAAAGTACAGGATGTAGTGAGAGAATAAACTAGAAAAGTACAAGTCATCACTGCACTCAATATCATGCTGAAGGCTTTGAGCCTTGTTCTACAGACAATGGGCGACTCATTGACAGTCTGAGTAGAGGGTGACATCATCTGAGCTGTAGCTTTAGAAAGTTAATGGCAGCAGAGAGAAGCATACTGGTGAGAAAATGGAGGCTGGAGACAAGCTTGGATGCTATGGGTCTAAATTAAAGCCATGGAAGGAAAAAGAAAGACGAGCTATGGAAGCCTTCTGAAGTGGAACTGACATCCTTCCTAGGATATGCCTTTAAAGGAACATTTGCAGGGCTGAAATTGGTAATAAATGCCTGTAAAATGGTTCTTAATATTTTTATGTTAAAAACACAACACACGTATCTAACTCAGTTTCTCCTATGGAAAAAGGCGGGGGAGGTGCAGGTACAAAATTAGTGCCAAAGTAATTTAAGATCGTTCTTGTTTCTTTCCTATGTCTGGACTTATTTCTGTACCAGCCTTTAATATAAAACAAAAGTAATACATGTTCACAAAGGTAGTATTTCCTTTACTATTAACTTCTGTTGTTTATATTACAAATATTCTAGGTCCCATCATAAGAAGAACACTGACTGAATTAAAACATAAATAGGATCTTCCTAAAGCAATGCAAAGATTAATATTAGAAATGGTGGAAGGATAAACATTAAACCAGAGTGATAAAGATGTCGGTGAAATGCTGATTAGGAGGAACATATGCCTGTGACTGATGGAATGCTGTCCAAAATGAGTTTTAAAAAATATGTACCTGATTTTCTTTAGCAGAAGATTCCAAAAAAGCTGCATTCCAAGATTCTGCTAACGCTTTCCCTTCTTCATAACTGATCACCCTAAAGGAAAAAGAAAATTCTAATTAAAGTACTTTGCTCTGTATTATATAAAACATCTATAATTGATTTACGAAACAAGGCTCCACTTTTATCAATTTTTTCCTTATGAAGCAGAAGCACGCTCTGCTCAGTATTATCATCTAGTATGTAACAGAGAGGAGCATTTTAATTATGCCTGAGTTGGGGAACAGAACAGACATTGCCTTATGGGGTTACCCATGCTCCAGCAAGCTCTTAGAGTTCAGAGAACATGACTGTATTTTCCAGTACTCCAATATCTGTAACAATTGACTACTTTATAGCTAGGTTGTAAGCACCCAAGGACAGGGGCAATTCTGAAAGGGCCCACAGTTCAATTCTGTCGTGCACAGGCTGCAGTCATTCAGCCGACAAGTGCCTTCCTCTCTAGATGCCAGGATCCACAGGGAGCAGGTCCTTCCCCGCCTTGTTCACGGCTCTAACCCTAACCCCGGTCCTCAAAAAACTATTTGTTGAATAAATGAGTGTTACCGTTGTCTTTTTAGAGTCTGCTTTACGCAGAATGGTAGAAGAATCTAAAGAGAATTTTCTGTAACGTTTGCTCACTCTTTTCTAGAGGACACATTTGTCAAGGGAGATGAGGTGTATACTACAGTTTTATTTCTGCTATGCACAATCACTGTCACATTTCTGAACACAGAAACACAGATATGCTACAGCTGAAAATATTCTTGCCATAAGAACAATAATTAAACACGGAACTTCAGTGACTAAATCATCTTAGACTTGATTTTATAAATAAATAATTATTTAGAAGCTACATACCTTTCCATATGTAGGTCTTTCTTATTCCCAACCAACATAATAGGTATTCTATTAATACGAGGAAAAAAAAAGCCAAAGTAAACTAGTCAGTGCTAGATTTTACTGTTCAGGAGATACTACTATAACGAGTGTATCTAACAAGAGAGACAAAGTATTACTACTTACTGCACTTTCCCCACCATATCCAACAATTTGCCATGGATAACTTTAATCACTTCAAAACTATAAAACAAAAGTATGGAATCAGATATCCACTTTAGTGTTGATGTTTTAAAATATTTGTTATACAATGTTGATAGTGGGAAAAATATAAACTGTCACAGACTCACCATTTTAATATAAAATAAATTGAACACAAGGAATTCCTTTATTTTTTCCTACCAATCTTTTTCACATGTGCATGTATTTGACACTCAGTAATCCTTACTGAGAATATTCAGAATACTGAGAAAATGAAATAGGTAAGATATTTAAATAGGAAAGTCTAACAGTGGGCTGACAAACCATATAAACACAAATTTCAATCTGTGCATAAACATCTGTAGAACACTGAGGGCCCTAGCAGTCAGCCCGTGTTCCACATAAATATGGTGGAAACACATAAAAAGTAACTCAATTTATGTTTTTCCCATTTCAATTAGTAGAAAAGCTCAGATCATGTTCAATCATCATCTGTCTAGGCAGCTTGAAGTAAGAAATACAGAGTTTTATTTCAACAGTGTAAGAGAACATCTGTTGGGGTACTTTTTTCCCCTTAACAACCTGTTTGCTCCACAAGACAATCACTAAAAAACATTTAGCCTAATAATCAAGTCTAACTGTTAACTACTGCCAATTCCAGCATAATCCTTTAAAAGGATTAATGCTATCTATGTGTAGCAAATAAACTCAAGCAAGCAGCAAGAGTCAGTCTTACCTTTTGATTGATGTAACAGAATACACAAGAATATAACCATTAATATCTATGGAGTATGTCTGAGGAAAGATGGAATATTCATCCTGTGGAAGAAAAAATAATTACATTTGAGTAAATTCTTCATATAGCATAATAAGCAATCCTTACCCAAAGTTTTTCACATATTCCCTGGTCAAAGAAGTCAAAGTAAACAAAAAATGGATTACAATATTATTCTAGAAACATAGCCTACACACTCAAGATTTATTTAAGACTAGTTTAGGGATGATAATGTGCTTTTAAGTCAATATTAAAAAATGACTCTGGCTATTTTAAGACTTTTGGGGGAAGGCTAATGATTTCTGTAATTCCTGGGAGAAGAGGAGAGAAGGAATGAAAAGATGATTAGTTCTGTGATCTCGTATTAAGGGAAAAGTACCACTACATTTCTTTTATGGGTGGAAAGTCCAGAATCTCTTAAGACTTCACAGGAAATTCACAACTGCTACTGGTTTATTCCATAAATCTGCATTTTCATATTTGAAATGTTATATTATCACTTGACCTATTTTCTACACGTGAGTCACAACGGCCTGAGTACCAATCTACCGGTCATTAGTGGGTTGCCACCTGCACTTGAGAAAGAGGAAGAGGAGGGAAGAGGATCAAAACACTAGACTCAGTGTACCCAGACTTTTGAGGATCAAAAGAGTTATTTATTCAGCAACTTTAGGAATTAAAAAAGCAAAGGTACACATTATGCAATAGCGTATTAGTACTCAGTTTTATAAAGCTTTATGAAACTCTGCTTTAGATACAGAATTATTCAAGCATATAAAAGGTTCTGATGATGCAGTTTTCACAAGCACACGTCACTGTCTGAAACAAACATTTCATTCTCAGTTGAAATGTAATTGTCAATATACTACATCTCCCAAGCACTACCACAGAAAAATCAAGGCAAGCCACCATTATATCAAGTAACTGTCTCTGTTAACTTCGTAATTCCACAGTATAGTAACAACTAATGTTCATGATGACCCTGAATTACTGCCCTAGGGCAAAATGTCTTTAAAAAAAAGAGAAAAATTAAGTTTTACTATCAACTCTTTGATATCATAAATAGTAGTCACTAAGCAGAAAACAGCGTTTCTACATCACAGAGCTTACTACATATGTAAAATAACTCTGTTTTCATTATTAGTACAACTTTCATTAAGTTGAATTCATTTTAGTGTTGCTTTTTGAAAACAAATTTTTAGCGGAATGATAGATTTTTTTCACCCAGATTAAAAACAAAATTCCAAATGATTTTAGTCACCAGCTCAGGTACGGTAGATCCAAAATTCAAATTATCCTTTCTCTGAAAGGAAGATGTGGAAATAAAGAAAAGAATAATCATATTCTAGAAGCATGGTACAAAAAACTAGTTAGAAAGTATAATGGAGGAAAAAGACCCCCAGATGTAACAGCAACCAAAAAGGACAAAATTCCTACGAATAAACTTAAGAAAATAAAAGTGTATGATGCATCTGAAAAAAATCTTAAAATACTCCCAGAGATAAAAGACTTCAATACATGGAAGAGTGTGCCACGGTCTTCAGCAAGAATAAGCAGAATCATAAGGCTATACATTGATTAATCCTAAATTAATATATAAATGTAACATGATCCTGCTAAGAAGTATACTTTCTGAGGAAGAACAGCAATTTCAGAGGCAAGTGGGTGGAACCCATAAAGCTACAGTAATTAAAACAGTGCAGTACCAGCTCATGAATGGAGCAGACCGGAAAATCTACAACGACCTAAATAGATATGGGAATTAGGTATATGATATACTGGCATTTCAAATCAGTAAGGATAAAAAGTAACCCTCAACAATACGTATAGGGAACAAATGTAGAGCCATCTGGGGAGAGACGGCTAAGTTGGCTCTCTAACTTACACCTTAGCAAAAATGTATTCCAGAGGAATCAAAGATTTAAAGATGAAAATTGAAACTATGTGCATAGTAGATGGGAGACTTTTTAAAAAATAATATCAGTTAAAAAGAGATTAATAAATTCAACTATATGAAAATGAAAAAGTTCTTCATGGCTGAAAACCTTTGAAAAACCACAAACAAAAGACAAACTGAAAACAAACAATACCTTGCAGCTCAGATCATATACAAAATGCTAATTTTCTTCACATATTAAAGGGTCTCTCAAATCAATAAGCAAAGGCCAACAACCCAATGGAAAAAGGGCCAAGTACATGAATAGACAGGATAATTCACAGAAAAAGAAATATGAATGTCCTCAAACACAGGAAAATATGACCCAACTCCTTCATAAGAAGAAATATACTTATTAAAATGACACTGAGATACTATTTTTCACCTAGCAGATTGGCAAATATCAAGAAATTCAGACGGATGGCAACTAGACTTCTGGTGGTAGACACGATGCAGTCTATACAAAAGTTGAAATATAATGATGTACACCCGAAATTTATATAATGCCATAAACCAGCGTGACTTCAAAAAAGAAAAAGTGTTTTTAAACACAAAAAAACTGGTAACACATTGTGTTGGTGAGTGTGTAGGGAAATGGGCACTCTCATTCACTGCTGGTGAGGATGTGAACTGTGACCCAATGCTCCAGCAATCCCACATCCAGGGAATCTTCTTACATAACAGATTGTCTGTCTAAAATAACACAAGATAGTGATTGCAGTACTGTTGGTGGTAGCAAGACTGGAAACAACCTAACTGTTGATCAATGGTTAAATTATGATATAACCGAACAAGGGGATTAGTATGCAGGAGAAAAAAGAGGCTGTAGGTACTGATATGGAAGAAATCTGCAAGATGGAGATACAGAGATATGTTACTGTTTTTTTTTAAAGATTTTTATTTATTTATTTTTTCCCCCCAAAGCCCCAGTAGATAGTTGTATGTCATAGCTGCACATCCTTCTAGTTGCTTGCGATATGTTACTTTTTGTGTAAGAAAGAAAAAAATAACTTAAAACCATATTTGCATGTTCATGTATAAGATATCCTGGAAGTACATACTAGACACTGATAAAATGGGTTGCTGTTGGGGGGTGGAGCTAGGGTAGCTAGAGTGAGGAAGATTTAAGGTTCGCTATTTACCTTTTTGTGCATTTATTACTGTTTTCTAAAAATAAACTTAATACTTGACTTTTTTTAAGGGTAATTTGACATTATAAAATTGACCATCCCTGAGTCACATGTCACTGAGTCTACCTGTATTAGGCCCAAACATAACATTTCATGCAAACTAAAAATAATCAACTTGTATTTAACTACGTTCATCATCATCTCTAGCTGGGCAGTTAAACCAGCTATAATATAAGCTATTATAATAGTAAACGGTACTTGCTATCATATATTGCTATACAGCAATTTATTATGTGCAATTTTACTCTCCAAATGTGTAAGCTAGTGAACAAATTTACTATAGATTGCTTTTAAAGAATTTGCCCTTTAATCATCTTTCCCTACTACCAGCAGTCTTAACCCCAGACCAAGCCCATATGAATCCAATTTAAAAACAGCTCTTGGTGCAGTAATTATAAGTGCCATCTCATCCAGTTTCTACAGAATGGGGGTAGGACCACAGAAAAAGGAAATACCTGTATCACACCATCATGGGTGGTAAATACTAGCATAACTTTTTATTTTATGGTCTCCCAACTGTGAATACAGCCTTTAAGAATTATTAGCTGCAATGAAAACAAATCATTCAAAATAGCTAAATTTGGATATATTTTGTGCAAAAATTTTCTAAATATTCTTATTTTGCAATAACAGAACCCAAAGGAGCAAGACAAGCAGAGCTGGTTACTTTGCTCTTACCATCCCTCACACGGTACCCTCACTCGCTGAGATCTCTGATCCTTTTGGGGTCATTCTTTGTATTACTCTATCATTAAAACAACTGAAGACATGTGATGCCCAAGTGTACATTTATGCCTTAGAGCAAAAGAGAATCTCAGAGGAACACATCTTCTATTTTGATAAAGAGAGTCAATATAAAGAAATTTTCTCTCCAGAGAAATGTTTACAAGGAGAGCTCTCCTCCAAGTACACCAGGACACCTGCACTACACTCACTCACGTCGTTAACGTCAATTGAGTTGCCCGGATAGGCACTGCTCTAGCCTCAGCAGCATCCAAGAGCTCCAAATAAGGATCAAATCCTCTTTAAGCTCATAAACCTACTCTAAACCAAATAACAATCCTGTGAAGGCAGGTACCACAATTGTCACCAGTTGACAGACGAAGATCTGAGGCATAGAATGGTTCATCAACTTTCTCAAGGTCACTGGGTTAGTAAAAGCCAGGATTCAAACCCAGGCAGCATGACTGCAGAGTCTACACTCCAATCAACTATGACATCTTGGTTCTCCTTCTGGTCTACTTTAAATGTATTTCTATAGTAACATTACATGGAAGCGATTTATCAATTTACATTCTCACTCACACTTTCCATGAGCTTAATGAAAATTCAAAACAGAGATATAAAGGCAAACTGAAATCTTGATAATGTCACAGTCCCACCATAAATGGTGTGTGGTCCTATTTCTTTGCCAAGGATGTTCTTCGGTTTATCCCTGTCGCCTCAGCATAATTATCACCCATGCTCCCTTCACTCTTAAAGTGTCTTACTCTAGGTAATAAAATTACACAGTCACCTTAACTATAAAAGAAGGATACAAACCCTAAGAATCCAACACAAGGTCCTACCCCAGAGGTAGGTAGAAATTCCACACTAATTTCTCAGAAAAGCTAGGTCCTCTAAGTCATCACTCCCTTATGGAGACTTCTATTGCTTTTCTTGTTCCAATAAGCTCCAAACTCCCATTCCGCAATGGACAGGTACCCTGTAGAATGAAAGCCTAGGATGGCTCTGCTCTAAGAAAACCATCATGAGGTGTGATGACGAAAGCCTATTACATTCTACCCAACACCAGGTGGAGCATATAGGGTGAATGAGAGTTACATGTTATCTCTGACATACACACTTGATTTATTTTATTTGAAACTTCCAGAACTGAAACTCCAGGGTTTCTCCAGTGCTAAAACAACTCAATACAGCTATTTCCTTGCTTCACTAACGGGTTACACTTTCCTTCTACGTTCACTTCAAAACATAAAGCAGAGGGAGCTCATTCCAAACCCACAAGACAGGCCACATCATTCCAGGTCCATCCTAATCTCCCCAGGTTCCAGAAAAAAAGCCTCCATCTAACGGGGCAGACCAGACTATACTACACTCACCCTCCTGTGAGTCTGATCCTTTGTCCAGCATGAGAGGCAAGGTGAGGAGTTAGAAACTGACATTCCAGCTTCTTTACAGTCCCCACCCTCCAGTAAACTGTAATAAATGCAGCCTAACAGAATGGTTTCTAGTAAAAGCTGAACTGGCTGCCATGGTGATGGGGAAGTTAAGCTGTCAAAGGGTTTTTTTTAATTCCCTTCAAGTTCTCTCAATTTCTTTCATCCTTTGATTCCAGTCAATTCCCCTGGCGACCCATTCCCCACATCACTGCTACATTAACCTGTGAATATCTTTTTTGGGGGTTACTTAACCTCTGGCAATTACCGACTGTCTAGCAAATCAAACTGACACTCCTTACTCTAGTAATCATATAACCATCTATAAATCAGGTCATTTCTGCCCTAAATCTTTCTCATGCCTTTTCCCTGGAAAAGATTTACTTTTGCTCTTAATGTAGGAGAATACATAATTACAAAGGGAGGAAAAGCATTAATATGATTCTCTGATACAGAATTAAGTTTAGAAAATAGGAAACCACTATCCCTGTAATAAATATAAACCTTCACAATATTATGAATATATTTAAAACAAATCTAAAGTAAAAAAACAAGTTAATTATTTGAAAAACTGCCATAAAAGTCTTAGAAAGGACAAAGTAGATAGCCTGTTAATATTCCATCACACATAAATCACGAGGGGTTTTCTTGGCATTGCTGTTCTGTGAAAGCATCAACGCCAGGGATAGGAATGTCAGACACGCTGCATGAGATTCTGAGATATTGGAGATACTTACTTGCCCAGCTGTGTCTACAAGTTGAAGATGATATTCTTGTCCGTTTACTGTGATTAATTTTGTGAAAGCTATAGGGAAAAAGGGAATTAAACATCAGTTAGCTAAAAAAAATTAACTTTAGATCACTTAAAGCTTGAATGATGACAACCAATTAAGCAGAGTCCCTAATAATCTCATAAAAAGGTCCCACAAAACAAAAAAGAACAAATCTCTGGCGTTTACAGATTCTTCCCTACTTCCATTATTTAACTAAAAAACACTGGCTAGCTGACTAAAATCAAGGTTGGGTAAACCTTGAATCTTTTTCAAAGAAATTGAAATTAGGCAACAATTCATATCCTGTAAAAGTAATTTGAATGCTCTACCTGTGGACAGTCCTTCCTCTTGTGAAAAGTGAAATATAATACATAAAGTCTGAGGTCTAGAATGAACCAAAAAGCACAAAACTTTTCATTAATTTATAGGAATTTCGGTGTCAGAGCACAAAAAGCTAATATTAATTGAAATGCTAAGAAGTTTCAGTATGCAAAAAAAATTAACAATTTTATTGATGGATAAAACAGCAAAGGAACAGACGTTCTGTGTGAAGCTATCATTCCCACTTAGCTTAAGGATCCAAGAAATTTGTCACAACTATTTTCCTTACCAAAATGGAAAAAAAAAAAAAAAAAAAAATCAGACAACTTCTGGAAAAGCGAATTCAGAATTCTAAGGAGACAGACTTCAAATAAATACAGACACAAAAGAGGAAAGAACTATTAATAGTAACAGAATATTAAAAAGTAACCATCTGGAACCCTGACAACTACACAAAACAGATTTCTTCTGCATACCCAGTCCCAGCCATTTTGACTCACGATGAATTCTCAAATCTCCTGGCTGGCCATTCAAACTGATTATGGCCCGGCAGCAGAATCTATCCCTTGCACAGTTGAGAGAAGACCCACTTTTGCCCACTTTGTCCCACAGCCAAAAGAGAAAGCAAAAACAGAGGAAATTACGAGGGAATTATAAGTGACAAGGAGGATGGAGAGGGGATCTTATCTGACTGATGAGTGCCACAGGGAGACAAAGAACAGCTGAAAGAGAAGCAGTAATCAAAGAGAATCACACCAGCACCACACTTTCCCAGTGCCAGCAGGGGTGCTAGAGTCAGGTGACTAATTGGTGAGTACCAATTAGACCAGACTACTCAAGCCCACTGCCACACTTCATATCATTCTTGTGCCCTTTCTGGAAATTATCACTTTAAGGAAATAGTTAAACCAGATGAAAACTCAAGACAGGGAGTACTCAATATAATCTGTTTCATCAATTCTAAGAAAAAATTCTATCATATTTTTTTTCCACACTGTAACCTCTCTGAACTTGGGATGCATCTTGCACCGACTGTACTTTTTGATCACTGTCAGCCAGGGGGCAGTCGTGACGCTCCTGTGTGAAAACCTGCCACTGACACCTTAGTCAGGTAACATCAAAAAGTGCGTTTTATACTTGATGAAAATTATGTAAGAAACGCTCATGAGCAATAAAGCCAGTGAACTTCAATTAGAACTAAGTAATTGTGGTTATGAAGTATAATGTAATTACTATGAAAAGATTACTGAGATAAAATGTCCATCATTCATTCAAGAACTATTTCTTGAGTGGCTAGTATCACCACCTAGCGCTGTTCTAGGTGCTCCAGATACTGCAGTCTCTCACCTCAGTGAGCTTACAGCCCAGCAAAGGAAGACACAGACAGACGCACACACACACTGTCAGGTATCTTCTCTAGGAGAAGATCCAGGCAGAGGGTAAACAGCAAGTGAAAAAGCTCAGCGAGGAAAAGCAAGAGAGTCATCGCAGCTGAGGCTGAGAGAGAATGGTGGTGGGTAATTAGGTTGGGGAGGAGGCAGGTCTTATAGGACATGGTAAGGAGTTCAGATTTTTATTCTGAATGTGATGGGAAACCAAGGGTTTTGAGCAGGGGAGTAACCTGATTTGATTCATATTTTAAAAAGATCACTAGCTATGCTGTGAAAAATAGAAATGGACGAACCAAAAAGGTAGAACACTAAAAGGATTTTCTGATTGACTGGAAGTAGGGTGTGAAGAATGGAGAGCTGGATGACTCCAACGTCTTTGACTTGAACAACTAGATGCATGAGCTGCCATTTACCACTATAGGAAAGGCTAGGGGAGGAGCACTGGGGATGGAGAGGAAGGGAATTGAGAGCTGGGTTTAGATGTGTGCAGTCCGGGAGCCTATTAAATATCCAAGGGGAAACAAGGGCAGCTGAATAAAAAAGCCCAGAGTTCAGGGAGAGGCAGGGGTTGGGGGTACTACGAGACAAGCAAATTCCTGAAGAGACAGAAGACCACTAGAGAGCAAGTGTAGAGAAAGCCTGGGCCTGAGCTTGAAGCCCAGGGGCACCCCACACTGCCAGGTCAGAAAACTGAAGAAGATTCAGCCAAGGAGACTGGGGAAATACTGGCCAGTGAGGTTAGAGTAAAAAGGCAGGAGATGTAATTGTACATAAGATATAAAAGAAATAAAATATCAATAAACGTTTTCATATATCCCTGCACATAAAAAGGATGTAAATCCTCCTACACACAGCAGTAAAATGAAACTGAAGACCTTCCATTTGTCATGGGAAAACTGTCTCTTCTTGTTACTATTGGAAAAAGAGAAGTGTAATAAGAGCCATGCCTGTCAGTTCCAGAGTCCAGGAACAAATTCTTCTACGCCCTGTACTCTCAACCTCGTGTAGAAATGGAAAGCTGGCTTTCTCCTGTCACTTTCCTTGAACCCTCTCTCCTTCCTTTTTCAATCACTGGAGAAATTAATCCAATTTCCAACCTAAAATCCTGAAATTACTCTAAGCAGACTAATAGTTACTTAACTAGTACAACCTACTAACAAGCAAAGTAACAGAGACTTCCTAATCCATATCCTACTGAGAAGTCTACCCACTAGGCAACGCTTGATAATGCTGCAAAACTCCTAATCAGAATTTCCCAATTTTCTGACAGGAGCTTTATTAATTCATCAACAGTACTACCTTGAGATGGCAGAAATTGTAAATTGCTGCTATTCTTCCTTTAAATTATAAACTACCACTAGTTAAATTTCATCAATTTAGTTTGTATTGAGTAGTTAGATTAACACTACAGTAACTAAGAAAGTACATTTGCACAAGCAGTACTTTTGCTCTAAAAATTTCCCCAAACTAGAAAATATGTGGTTTTATTCTTGTATGACCCTATTTTAAAAGAAGATGACATAGTCCCAGAATTTTTGCTTTTGCAGTGATACTTCATAGAGATTTGTCACCACTGAATGTTCACTACATAGAAATGACCTATTCTATATTATAAAGTTAAGTGTAAAATAACTACTGGGTTATGTTCTGATTTACAGAGTACTGCGTTTTTTAAAACCATCAAACCATCCATCATTCACGCTCCTAACAACAAGTTTATGATAACGGTTCCATTTCTCTTCAATTCTGTTATCACTGAACAATGTTTTTCCACTAAATAGTGGGGAAAGGGTAGAGTAAGGGTTTCGGCCCTGTGTTAGACTGTCAGACCATAGTAGATAGAATCTGATGTCTGAATACTCCTCATGAAAGGATTCATGTAATCTGATATTCATTTCTGCTCTTGCTTATAGACTTTAATACTTTGAATTTATTTATTTCTGATGAGGAAGACTGGCCCTGAGCAAACACCTGTTGCCAATCTTCCTCTTTTTGCTTGAGGAAGAGTGGCCCTGAAGCTAACATCTGTGCCCATCTCCCTCCATTTTGTATGTAGGACGCCACCACAGCATGGCTTGATGAGCGGTGTGTAGGTCTGCGCGTGGGATCCAAACCTGCAAACCTGGGCTGCTGAAGTGGAGTGCGCCGAACTTCACTACGCCACTGGGCCAAGCCCTATACTTTGAATTTATTTTTGAGATGAGAAAAATCTTTATTATTGAACACTATTAGATAGGAAAATACTAAAAACACAATTAAAGATGATACTGACAGCCTCTGAAGTAGGGTCATATCATTTGGTTTCTGAGATGATTGTATCAAGAAAGTTGGACTTTTACCTGATCCCTTATTTATATATAAAGAAAATGTACTTTTTTTTTAAGAAAATGCATTTATATAGAACACCATGACTTTCCTTCCAACTCATCTTTATTTTATTTTATTTTGGTGAGGAAAATTAGCCCTGAGCTAACATCTGTTGCCAATCTTCCTCTTTTTGCTGAGGAAGATCAGTCCTGAGTTAATTAACATCCACGCCCATTTTCCTGTGGGACACCTTCCACAGCATGGCTTGCTAAGTGGTGTGTAGGTCCGTACCTGGGATCCGAACCTGTGAAACCCAGGCTGCCGAAGCAGAGCGCCCGAACTTAACCACTATGCCACTGGGCTGGGACCCCAACTCAATTTTAAATGGTACAAAGATATCCACTTATAAAAACCACTTTTATGAGCAGAGCTTACCATGAAAACTATCTATCGTTAATAAAATTCCCAATCAAGTCTTTTCTCTTTAAGGACATAAAATTCTAAGTTGCTATGTATAGCAAATATTAAGACCAAGATCATGGTTTTCTCATGTTCTTATTCCATTGGAGAGATAACCAAATGTGTTCACCTAGCATTCAAATTAATCTGCTCCTCACATGGGCATACTATTCCGTAAGTGATAGCTATACAAATCAACACAGGATGTAGTCAGGACTCCTCCTTCCAGATACCAGCAGAGGTTACTTTCAAACACGGGTTTTCCCAGAGTTAGTTTAGCAAGCAACAGGTTTCCTTCCCTGCCACCAGCATACTGGGACACAAAGGACTGCTGACTATTTTAAGCCAGAGGTAGGCAAACTCTTCTTGTAAAGGGCCAGATAGTAAATATTTTAGGCTTTGTGGGCCTTATAGTCTCTGTCAGAACTATTTGACAACTCTCCTACTGCAGAGAAAAAGCTGCCATAGACAATATGTAAGTGAATGAGCATGGCTATGTTCCAATTAAACTTTATTTATGGGTGCTGAAATCTGAATTTCATATAACTTTCAGATGTCACAAACATTACTTTTCTTTTGACTTTTTTCAAATATTAATTAAAAACCATCCTGGGGCTGGCCTGGTGGCGTAGCGATTAAGTTCTTGAACTCCGCTTCGGCGGCCTGGGGTTTGCAGGTTTGGATCCCGGACCCGGACCTATGCACCGTGTCCTATGCACCGCTTAGCAAGCCACGCTGTGGCAGAGTCCCATGTAAAGTAGAGGAAGATGGGCACAGATGTTAGCCCAGGGCCAATCTTCCTCAGCAAAAAAGAGGAGGACTAGCAACAGATGTTAGCTCAGGGCTAATCTTCCTCAAAATAAACAAACAAACAAAAACCACCTTTAGCTTGTGGGCCATAAAAAAAGGCACTGGGTCTTTTTGTCTGCAGGCCGGAGTTTGTCAAACCCCCTGCTGTAAGTCTCTCTTGCAAACTTTGGGCAGGTGAACTCTACTAATCTAGTTGTTAAAGTTTATGAACCTGGCTGTTAAGTCAGCTTCATGTCTAATATACCAATCAGGTTTTAATGAATCCCATGTTTAAATCTGTATGTTCCTGGTGACAAATCCTAGGTAGTAAGTACTGGTGTCAAGAATCTGAGACTGGTTCCAGGGCTACCTAGGGTTCTAAGATAGTCTGAAACAAGACCAATTTCCAACAAACCAGCTTCCCTGGATGGAAGGGTTTCAGATTCTCCTCTGTGATCCCTAGAATCAAGACTTGTCTTATGATTCTGGAATCCTTCAGGCCGATTCTAAACCATGGATTCAAACTGGACAAGGTGTAAAGGCCGTGGCTGTTTCTGGTCTTCTGTGCTTCTTTCTGCGCATAGCCTGAAATGCCACAGGCTTTGGAGCCAACTTTGTTTTAATGCTGCACCTGCTTTCTCCAATCCCAGAATAGCTCATTTCCCCAAAGCCTTCAAGTCTTTAGGACTGGAAGGGATGGGGGCGGGTAGTGCTTCTACAAGAGTAAGGTACAAAGGATCTGGAGTGTTCTCACCCTTTTTCTTTTCAAGCTTGGAATCCCTAAAAAGGGCTACAGTTGAGAGGAAGAAAAAAAAAAAAAAAGACTGTACTCTCTATTCTGCTTTCCTAAAGCAGAGTCTGGAATGTGAGGTTCCAATGTAGGACTTATTTCTACGGAACTGAATAACAATTTCTAGATGGCGGGATCTGGACAGTGAATAAAAAATGATTCAGTATAAAGTGGGTAAAGCTTTTGGAAGCTTTTCTTGGACCCCAGTTGCAGATCTATAGGTTCACCGAATAGCCCCTTGTAATCAAAGCTCCAGGAACACACAATGGCTATTTGTATGCAGAATGCAGGCTTCCCAGTTTATAAATCCTTGAAAACAATACTTACTGTTTTCTATGGTTGGATCGTAGGAGTCAACAAATTGGCCTTCAACAAACTGAATCGTCAATGAGGATTTCCCTATAAAAGAGAGCAACAGCTCAGTATGTATTGGCATATTAAAGTAAAAAATTTTAATTCTACTATTTTACAAAAAACACTCAGATGAAGAAACTGAAGGTACTGGGGCTCAGAAAACATTCCTTTAATTAGCACTTGGGCAATTTCAAAAAAGGAAATAAATTTCATTAATTTGCTTTATATGACAGGAGTTTAAGCAATTAAGCTAGTACGAATTAAACACTTTCGTGACATTAACAAATATTACTGACGGACAAGCACATCACACATTCCATTAAAGGTAAACAAACTCTTAATAAGCTAAGCTGATGTCCTCTGGTGTCCTTGAAATCTGGCTAATAATGTTAATATGGAAATTAATCTGGCTAATAATGTTAATATGGAAATTAATAAAACATGATTTAGTTTCTTTGGGCTCTTTCAGGCACAGCTGTTAGCTGTTAGAAGTGTCACCAGGTACAGCTTTTAAAGAGGATAACGTGAAAATATGTAACAAAAACCTTTATTTAAAAAACTCCTTGAAGGCAGAAATCTTATCTCAATCATTCAGTATCAAAGGCCTCTCATTGTCTGGTGCACAGAAGACAATTAAGAAATGTTTCAGACTTCCCAAAATCACCACTAATAACTGGGCCTGTACGTTAACAAATCAAGAACTAGAGCCCTAAGTTCTCACCCCTCTTTGTTACCTAAAATTTCTATTAGAGGACTTTAGAACAGGGTGCCCTGTGAAGACACAGTGCAAGAACACAGTCCAGATTATTTTATCACCAGGAAATGGGAAGTGGTCCCTCCCTAATTTCTCCCCAAACCCTTCCTTCTCTCGTGCATCCTCAGAGCATTATTAAACACACGTTCTTATTATAAGCTTGTCGCATCTGGCTGAGCTTCTACCTCAGAGGACCTGCAGGGAGAGCCAAGGAGAGAGGTTTGGGAACGCAAGCCTTCTACTCCCAGGGTTTGAGTTGTGCTTGCCTTCCTCCAAACCACAGAGAGGCGCAGTTCACAGGCGGCACGATGTCTTCACACCAGAGGCAGGCTCCGTATACTCAGAAATTAATAAACTGGCTTACAAGTGGGTGCTGCTGGGAGACAACTAGAAAACCCCCAGGTTAGCAGGCCTATATACTCAACACATAGTTCAGTGTCTTTAGAATTATTAAAAACTGAAATCATTCTCTACAAAGCAGCCTATGAGAGCTTTTAAAAATTAAATGTTTCTTCCCTGTTTACAATCCTCATTGCAACTAGAATAAATTCCTAACTCCTAACCATGGCCCCCAATCCCAGGCCCTCCCTGCTCAGGCCCCACTTCCCTAACCTCATCTGCTGCCACACCCCTGGCTCCAGTCACGTCCCTTCTGTCCCTGCCAAGTTCCTGCCTGCCTTAGTGCTTTTGTTCTAGCCACCTCCCCAGATCTTTGAACGTATGACTCATTTTTGTCATAATTCTGGCCTGAATTCAAATGTCCCTTCTTCAGAGAAGCCTTCAATAAGACCACCCCATCTAAGGTGACGCCTAGTCCCTAACAGTCACTCTATCATAGCCATCCTGTTTTACTTCTTTTTAGTGCTTGAAGTCATCTGAAATTATCTTCATTCATTAACTACTCTACCGAGACCAGAACAGTGCCTGACATGCTGTAGACACTCAGGTTTCTGAACAAATGAAAGAAACTAAAACTCAGACTTCGGAAGAGCACTTGCACACATTCAGATAATACCAAAGATCTCAATTTTATACATGTGACTAGGAAACACAATTCAAGTTCAATAGAAATTAAGAAACAATGATCTAGTATTTATTGGTACCTAATCACAGGCCTGCCTGTGACATAGGGATACAGTAGTAGTCCAGGAACTCCACACATTTCAAATGGATTGTGTTCAAAAGAAACCACATTACATAAGCTAGCTCATAAAGGAGTATTTATCTCAAAATATAGCAAAACTATTTTATGAAAATAGCAAGAAAAAAACCCCTCTTTTGTAAGTTAGCAAAACTGAAAAACTTAAAGGAATAGTAAAATTCTTATTTACTTCGAATGCTATTGCTTGACCCAAAAGAAGCTCAATTAGGAAGAAAGAAAAGAAGCTTCTTTAGGGCTTCTGAAGAGTACTTCTAGGTACTCTGGTGGGCTTTTGATACCCTTACGTAGGATAAGGGGGGATTTTTTGGCTTGCAAATAGAAAGAAGGGAAGGAAGAAAGCAGAAGACAATTTCTTCTAAAGTTAAATGGGCAAGAGTTACAAAGAAAAAAGGAAAGAAAGGGGTTAAGTATGATATCTGTGATAAGCTCCCCCAAGAGGAAGAAACAATGGATTAAGACAATGGTCTGTACTGGCACCAGGTGAGCCTCAGCAGCCTTCTCTGCAGGAGGGAAGAGAGGGGAGAAGGACCGCAGGAGTTATCACAGGACATTTAGGAAGCCACAACCAAACTGAAAAGAAAGTTAGACACTGAACAAGACAGCCGGAGATTAAGTGTAAAAATGGAGTTACAGATAACAAGTGGATCACATTTTAAAAATACAATTATGGGTACATATCCAAAGAAGAGTTCCTCGTTTACATCATAAAGGGCATAAATTATTTGACAGGCTAAATTAACATTTAACTTGAAAACACAAGTAATCATTTTGGCAAAAGCAGACAAATGTAGTCTAACCCAAATCACAATGCAGGTTGACAGCAAACTATTGTCTTCACCAGTAAACTGGGACACAGAATTTAAAACCCCAGGCCTCAGGGAGCAGGCTGGATTTCTCAATCAGATTGGTCCTGGGAGAAACGGATTATTCATTAGCAGAAGTGGGACTGAAGAAAAGCTAGGTGTCCCTCGGGTCTCCCTTCCCTTGGACTCTCCCCTAAGGGGAGATCATGAATTATTTAAATTAAGAAGGGACAGGAAGGCTACATTTGCTGACATGACACACATGTTTTCTGTTGTTTCCATTAAAAAGTAGAATTATTAGACAACTAGTGTTGAAATCTTTACTAGTCAGCACTAAACGATAATTAATCTTAGTAAATAAATCCCACCGCTCATACTATTCTCAGTTCTGGTTCTAGTAATTTCTGGTTTTAAAGGACATCTTGGTCCTCTAAAGTAGCAATTCAGCTCTTTTGGTCAAGTTTTCCATGCAGTTTGCTTGCAGCTACAAAAAGCACTGTTGGTCTACAGCAAATTATGTTCTTTACTCGACCACCTTTTTAACTAGTCCCCCATTATGACGTCAGACATTTACTTTGTCCTTTGTCCTTATCAAATTCAGATTCTGAAACACTAGTTATTTTGTGAAGATATTTCACCAACCATTATGCTCTCAGAAAGCTGCTAAATTTGTACAACTTGAGAATCTCCAGCCCCAGACCAATTCTTTGGAGAAATGCTATATGAAAACAATACAGGAGTGATCTGAATTAACTGAAAAGCAGCACATAGCCAGATGTGTGTTTATCAACTTACAGAGAGACACAAATCACTCATTTTATGTCATAACTTAGTATATAAAAGTTATATTTATATAACTTCCGTATATAAAAGGTTTGAAAATAATATATCCCAATATCCCACAATTAACTTTCAAATATTCTTCCTCCAAACTCAAAATCACCTTAATTTTAAAAATCATACAAATTAGGGGCCAGTCCGGTGCCGTAATCGTTAGGTTCACGCACTCCGCTTCAGCAGCCTGGGGTTCTCGGGTTCGGATCCCAGATGCAGACCTACGCACTGCTTATCAAGCCATGCTGTGGCGGTGTCCCATATAAAGTAGAGGAAGATGGGCACAGATGTTAGCCCAGGGCCAGTCTTCCTCAGCAAAAAGAGGAGGATTGGCAACAGATGTTAGCTCAGGGCTAATCTTCCTCATATACACAAGAAAAATCATACAGATTATTTTTTAGAAGTTTCTTCTAAACTTTTATCAGGTAAAAATAGCATTGATATATTTTCTTGCAATGATAATATGACACAGTAAGTTTTCCATCCAGTATTTTCACTATAGAATACATACTTTCAAAGTTGTTGACTGAATTTCTTACACTGTGTGATTATTGCAAAATAGGTACTGTTTACACCAAATATTTTAATAATTTTCAAACTAATTTTGAACTAGTTTTCAGGCTTATTCTTCTTAAAAAAAAATAACTACTAGTATAATACTCCCCTACCCCCTCAAAGCGGCATTCTCTGGAACAGTTGACATGTTACTTGTTCACACTGGAACATAATGGAGAGGAGTAGGTTTCAGTCTATCAACCAGTCTATCAAGTCATTCAGCACAAGGGTCCATCAAGACCAATGTAATGTTTCTAGGACACAACCCAGGCCAAGGACTGCTTTCATTTTTACTCAAATTCTTCATATCACCTTATGGGACTTTGATGTCCATGTATATACAAGCTAACAGTTGAGCTTCAAAGGTCACTGGTCTCGCCAGCAATAATCATTTCCACGCCACTTCAGTGACCCACCTCATGAGCACACCATGAAATGCTGGCTGGCTGCACCTCCCATGTTCTCCCAGTGCCCTCACTTCTGACTCCTATCCAGACCCTCTCTAGAATATCTTCAAACTAGGCCTTGTAACCCACCAGGTCATGAAATCAATATACTGAGCTATGACCAGCACTGTTTTTAAAGAAATAGGAATATCACGGTGGAATGCAAATAATAAAGTTACGAAACTTTACTCTCCAAATCTCCATCATGTTTCACTTCCTTCCCTATCAGTGTAAGCCCCAAGACAAATCACTGTCCACTAGTCTTTTGTCAGAACCTCCCAATTTCCTTTCTCTGGGCCCTCTGAAAAATCCTGTCCTCTCAATCTACTCATTTACCTTTGGTGAGCCTGTTGAGCTCAGCTCCAGAAAAACTCCACAATGTGGGTTGGCCACCGTTCTCAAGCTTTGGTCTTTTCCTGTGCTGTCCTATCTCTTTAGGAATCCTCTCTGAGGCTCCCTCCTTTCCTCCTTAAGCAGTAGTGAAAGTGTGGTCCCAGCAGCATCACAGGGTAGTTTTACTACAAATGCAAATTCTTGAGCCCC